ATCTAACTGCAATGCTGGTTAATAATCCTAAACAAACTATACAGGGATTTTTTTTTACATCTTAAAAAAAAATCACAAAAGGTGTGTTTAGTAACTATGCGGGTTTAAGAAGGCTTTAATTCCTTGGTAAACAGGAATTGAGCCCTCTGGACTGTGGTTTTTGAAATTAGGGTGTGTTTAGATCTGGAGACTGCCCAAACTTCATTCACATCTAGAAGGGAAAGCAGCATGCCAAACATATGCAATCAGGAAAAATTACATTCTGAAGAAAGATTGTAAAACAAATGCTCCCATATGTTTCACAGAGATCAAATAGAATGGCTGAGGACTAGCACAGTGATATTTAACTATCTGGCGCAAAAAAAACCCCCACAAATCTTCAGAACTGAGAATTAATTTAGTGTATGAAAAGTAAGGGAAGGAGGCACATAAGTTAACTACTCTTTTTTAAAAAAATTCTATATGCTACAGAGTATAGCTAAGAAATAAGGGGAGATACAAACTCTCAACTCATCTGGTACCATCAGACACCTAAAATCACTATTTGTATTACAATGCTACCTACTGTCCCCAACAGAGCTCAGGCCCCTATTTTACTAGGTACTGTACAAAAGAATAGTAAGGGACAGTCCAGGCACCAAAGAGCTTACAATCTAAATAAACAAAATAGGGGAAAAAAAAAAAAAGATGGGAAGCATAGAGAAGTGAAGTGGTTTGCCCCAGGTCACAGAACAGATCACTGGTGGAGCCCAAATTTAAATCCAGGTTTCTCAGGTCTCAGTCTAATGCCCTGTACACTAGACCACACATCTTATTTCTCAACTTGAGCAATGTACTGCAGTCACTCTCAAATATCCAGTTGCGCCTGAACTAAATATTTAACATTTCCCCAGTGGTTACACTATTCCCTAGGTATTCCCTGTATCAGGTATAGAAAATATCAAAGGCATTCTGCCATAATGTTATTCTGTTATGTAAGCCACCTGAAAAGATTAAGGGTAACCAATACAGTGTTTCACAGATGAGCTTTAAGGGACTGGTGTGAGTCCCTTGTTAGCAGGGCTGATCTTTAGTCAGATGGAGAAATCCTTAGGTTTTAGTAAAAATGCTTCTAGACCCATTTGTTTGTGAAGACAGCTCTGAAAACATAACCTGACATAAAGCAGAAAGATACACACACATAATCTTAATCTTACTTTATGTAAAATTAGTCAATTACATTTTGGGATGAATGCCAAAGAATCATTAATGGTACACAGTGGTGTGATCATAGTGGGTGGGAGTTAGTTTTGTTAGGATTGGGAGCTCACTAAAAATAATAGCAGGCTCTGTTTCTTAAATTGGGTTAAGAACAGAGGCTGAACTGTCTGCTTCTCATTCAGACTGCTGCCACAGCATGGTTTTATCCCCCCACCGCTGACCTTGCTGACTCCTGTGTCTCCTCCCCTGCTCCCCAGCACCACTAAAAATCACACCCACCCATTTTTCAACCACTCTGGCAATTTATGAGGATGAAGCAGAAAGGAGGCAGGCCAAGCTTCTGCTACATTGAGAGTGTGTCCACCACTCTTCTACTGCCAGTGCCAGCCTACTCAGAGCCTGAAGATCCAGTAAGCAGGTGAGAACTTGGAACTCCCTAGTCCAGCAACAGAGAACCCAGTAGGGCAACTACCCCACAGCTAGAGACTGCAGGACATCCACCTTTCCCATGACCAGCCACTCAAAGCCAGAAGCTATTGGACAATTCGCCTGTCATCATCATGTGTAAGGAACAGCTACCTGGTAGAGAAGCTAACAAGAAGAACCTCAAATGAGGTGCTGGGGAGTTGGAAGCATAAAAGTTGAATGGAGTCAGGGATGGAAGAATAAGTAGATTAAAAAGGAGGTAGAGATCATGGAAATGATACAATTTTTGTGGGTGAGAGTGGGAAAGAAGAATACTAGAATGATGGATTTGCTAGAGGGAATAATATTTGGCACTGAAAAAACATCCTATATATGACTGAATAAACTGGAACAATGAGGGGTACGCATTTTCCTAACATTTAGGCAGCATATAATTGATGTTTTTTCTCTGAAATCACAGGATACTGGACAATTTATCTATAATCATTTCACTCTAAGAGAAAGAGCATTTTTGAAAAACAGAAAACTGAAATAACCAAAATTATTTAATGGGGTGACAAAATAACATTACCCTCCTTCATTCTGCCTCTGTGACCGACCCTGCATGCTGTCTCTGTGAGAAAAGCCAGGTGTGGCAGGGCAGAGATGAGACAAACCTAGGAATAAGTCGGTGTCTTCAGCACCATTCTCCCTGCAAACCCATAGTGTTGGCAGAGACCCTGTTTTGGTTTTGCCTTCCTCTGCAGCATGGGACACTTGCCAATTTGAATTAGATTAAATGGTGGATTCTCTGTAGCTTGAAATTTTTAAATCAAGAGCTGAGGACTGCAATAATTCAGCCAGAGGTTATGGCCTATTGCAGCTGTGTGAGGTTCTATGGCCTGTAATCTACAGGAGGTCAGGCTATATGATCATGATGTCTATCCTCAAAGTCTATGTAGGTTTTTCTTCATTACTAAATTCAACCATTTATTTTGTGTGGTTTCTGCTCTATAAGGATGGAGCAAGATGGCAGTCTGCATTGGGGTAGGGCAGAGACAGAAAGGCTGAGGAAGACAGGAAGGACAGTCCAGTGTTATGGCACTAGCCTAGGACATGGGTGACCTTGTTTCAATTCCTGTTCTACCACTGTTTTCCTATGTGACCTTGGGCAAGTCATGTAGTCTCTCTGCTTCTCAGCTGCCATCTGTAACAGTATCTCCCTATCTCACTGGTTTGTTGTGTGGATTAAAGATTGTAAGGTGCTCAGATACTGTGGTAACAGGGGCCATATAAATACCTAAGATAGAACATATTTGTGGCAATATAGCTCCTGTGGCAATCATGCTGTCATGGGGAAATAAAAGAGGTAAGAACCAGTGCTTAATCTGTGCTGGGACTTGCCAGGGCTGAGCAGGCACCTCTGGGGTTGGCAGCTCATAGGCTTACCAGATCAGTTATGAAAGTAAAAAAAATTGCGTAAGCCCTGGCACCTAATTGCTTGAGCCCCAGCACCTCTTTCATTACAAATTAAGCACCAGCAAGAAAAGTAGCAAAACAGGAAAAGGCCTCTGCAGATACCCCCATATCTCCCTCAAGGGGAGTCGGACCACTTGTCTACTCTGTGCGGAAACCCCATCTCTACTTAATCATAGGACTAGAAGGGACCTCGAGAGGTCATCCAGTCCAGTCCCCTGCACTCACGGCGGGACTAATTATCGAGACCATCCCTGACAGCTGTTTGTCTAACCTGCTCTTAAAAGCCTAACGTAACTTCATCCAGCCAGACAGATGTTTTCAGGGAAACTCCACCAGCTGAAACAATGTCCTGACCCTCCCGCAGGTTCTTCATAGGTGGGCATGGTCCAGCCCTACATGCTCAATATGTTTAAAAGACAAAAGGACTACAAGTTTTAAAAATCACGAGTTAAGGGAAAACAAAGTAACTGAATATATTGGCCAGGAATACCAAGAATATTTCCCCTACTTAATGATTTATGCCTTCAGACATCCAGATCTATTAATAGTACTGATATTAGCATACTGATGTTAGCATCTTCTAGGGGTGAGTGGTCCTCCACCTCTCTTTTGCAGCAGTGGAAGTCAGAAATTCTCTGCTGGATTCTACTATTTCTGTCTTCACAGTCAGAATAATGCTAGGACCAGGATGCTTTAGGCCAGGGGTGAGCAAACTATGGCTCGGGGCCACATCTGGCCCTTCAGATGTTTTAATCCGTCCCTCAAGCTCCCGTTGGCTCCTGGAAACGGCAGCATACCCCCACTCCACCTCCTATGCGTAGGGGCAGCCAGGGGGTTCTGCACACTGCCCCCATCCCAAGCACTGCCCCCACAGCTCCCATTAGCAGGAACTGCGGCCAATGGAGCTGCAGGTGCAGCACCTGTGGACCAGGCAGCACACAGAGGTGCCTGGCAGTGCCTTCGTGCAGGAGCCAGAGGAGGTACATGCCGCTGTTTCCAGGCGCTGCTTGAGGTAAGCGCCACCCAGAGCCTGTACCCCTGACCCCCTTCCACACCCCAACCGCCTGCCCCAGGCCTGATCCCCCTCAGTCCCAGCCTGGAGCACCCTTCTGCACCTCCAACCCCTCATCCCTAGCCCCATCCCAGAACTTGCACCCCCAGCCGGAGTCCTCCCCCCTGCACTCCAACTCTATGCCCCAGCCCAGAGCTCCCTCCTGCACCTTGAACTCCCCATTTCTGGCCCGATCCCAGAGCCTGCACCCCCAGCCGGAGCCCTCATCCTATCCCGTACCCCAACTGCCAATTTTGTGAGCATTCATGGCCCACCATACAATTTCCATACCCAGATGTGGCCCTTGAGCCAAAAGGTTTGCCCCCTCCCCCTGGTTTATTCTTAAATCTCTGATCTTGCATAGTTATTATATAATCTCTCAGAGTAGTTAGTATCTCATGGTTATGTATCTCAGTATACTATACTAAATTTTACAGCTCTCAATGATCCTTTCCTTTAAAGTAACTAAGCATTATTTCCTGTGGAAGTGAAAAACCATGAAATACAGTATTCAAAAAAGTTTTAGGTGTAGCACAGGAATAAATATTTTTTAAACATATGCAATTTTATTTTATGTTTATTCCTGTCAAATATAGCATCAAGCTTATTAAAAGGAAGAAATTATATATTTGAATATAAGTGAAATCCTTGACTTGAAAAATAAATCCACATTGCAAAATGGATTGCCATTTTAGAAAGGGCAAATGTTTATCCTAATTTTCATTTCGATTTAACGAAGTAAAAATTTCCTTAACAGAGAATACATTTGTGCAGCTTAGTAATGAGCTGTTTCTGTTGCAAACCAAAATTACCTTCACATGAAACTACAGTATACTATGTATCTATACCTCCTCCTATTACTCACATTCTCATAGAGGGCTTGAAGGGTCTCTAGGTCAACCACAGAGTTGTCCAAGTTCACAACAGCTGTGAAAAAAAGACAAAAGTGAAAAAGAATTAGTTGTCAAGATGATAATCCAGCAGTGAAAGACACACTGAACACAATACCCAGCAATAGCTTTTATGACCCCACTGGTCATACAGCTTAAGGGTTTTAACTTTATTAATGCCTTGAATAGTGCCGTTTCTAAGACGGTGGCCTAAGAACCTGGTAGAGCCAGGTGACAAGCATTAAAGAATCCACCCCCTCCCGCAACACACACACACACACACACACAATCCCATGAGTATGGCCAAAGCCAAAGATCAGAGATAAGCTTCACATCAGACTTTCGTGGTCCGACTGAAAGCATTATAAAAATTTGTAAATCTGTATCTCACACACACACACCCACCCCTCATTCCTGTCACTGATTGGTTTCAGACTTAAATTGATTAATCCACAAATCAGCCAGTTAACTTCAAGACACCTGACAAGGGTCAAATCTTCTATGCACTAACCCGACAGGTTCAGTACAAATACAAAATATGCCTTTCCTGTTCCCAACCAATGCTGGTGCCACATACATACTGTACTTTCTCAATGTCAAAAATCTGGCTTAACTGCACACAGAGAAGCAATTTCAAATCAACCTGACCTTTTGGGAACGGTGGTGGGGGGGAATGATGAACAGGGGCACTGATGTGCTGGGATCACTGGAAAAAACTATGAAGTGGAAGTATAGGTACTAGACACATTTCATATTTATGCTGGTCAGTGAAGAATCGTTCCAAATTAATACGAATATAAAATTATTAACATAGAATTATTTAAAACCTGGTAAACTGCATTTTTTATTTTTACACTCTTACAATCCATGTCATTGGAAAGCAAAGTAAATTTGGGTTTCTATATATTGAACAGGTATTCTGAATATTATACAGCAGGGATTCTTGTAATGTTAAATATTTTTACTGCAATATTTTATGTTTTGCCATTTTATCCTTTATTTGATTGCTTTCTTTTTTTGTGTGATTTTTTTTCTGTATACATATCTGTCTGCTAGCCAGAATAACCGTGGGACAAAACTACTCTAGAGATCATGCTGGTGATCAGTGATGGAATCCCAGTATCTGATTGCTTGATCCTCTATAAATCAGTGTCCTTGACTGTCACTAAGTGATTCTGTGTATACACCTCAAGATTAGAGACAACATAATTCAAACTCATTTGTTTCTCATTGCTCTAAGCATTCAGTGATACCACTTAGTGTCTGGGACTCATCATGTTTTCACCTTAGTGGTCTGGAACTTAATTTTAGTTACAGTATAATAAAAGAATATATAAATAAAGAAACATTGATCTTGATTAAACAGAGCAGGGTCCAGTGCATATGTATGGACAGAGTTTTAGCAGATGAAAAGAATGGGAACTTATTTGGAAATGTGCTAACTTTCCAAATCAATAAAAAATGATCTTTTCTGTTTTTCCTTATCAAATATATTTTATACATACATATTGCCTTGCCCCTCCTACCCTGCCTGCCAAGTACCCACCATCTAAAATGTTTTAGAAGGCCAAATGTAATGGGTATTGAAAGATGTGAAAATATATTAAGAATTTTGCACAAAATAATCCTAAAATTGAGCTGTCTATTCCCATTACAGAATGCCAATATTTTCCCTTTTCAACTTTTTAAAATGTCAAATACATTAAAGGTCTAATTAAAACTAGAAAAACCAGGAAATACATATTTAACATCTGACATTTAAATACACCTGTAAATCAGCTGGTGACAACAGGGTGGCAAACATTCCTTGGGGATACAACAGTGGTCCTTGTTTAATACTACACATTGTGATACCTTATGTCACTTACACTTTTTATTCTGTGAATAAATGTTACAACAGGCACTCTAAGGCAACGTTTCAGCAAGGTACTTAAGCACATATGTGTCTTTAAGCATATAAATAATCCCACTGGCTGCAATAGGACTGTTCACATGTTTAAAGATGTGCATGTGCTGAAGTAGCTTGTTGAATCAAGGATTAAAAATCAAAAGAATTGTTCAGATTCTGCAGTGTAGAGATTTCTACACATTGTTTGAGCTTGTACACCAGTGTGTACATGCTATAACAGCTATCCAAAACAAGGTGTATTATAGACCTACATTTAACTGCGTATCTGATTTTTGCTTTTACAAGTTAGTGTATTTATATTATACGCAAACACCACAACCCTTTAGTCATTCACTTTGACTCAATAGTTATCTTCCACTACCCCCGCCCTCGCCTCAGAGACTGTCTGCTTCTGAACTAAGAAATATGGCACAAGTTCCTGTTCTGACTTCTTCCACAATGTTAAGATCACCCATGGATTACTTAGAGAGCAATAGAACACTTTTGTTTGAATGCTTGCCTGAGATAAGAGAATGCCTGGCAAACACAATGGTGCCAGATCTGTGTACTTTCAACAAAACAGGTATGCAGAAGAGCATGCATATTTCAGGGAGCTGCTCAAAACAAATCAGTCTCAGAGGACTACAGACAAGGATTTAAAGAAATTATCTCCTAGCACATATATAAAGAAGTGTCTCACTGCTAAGAAAATGACAAAACTAAATATACCTACACACACATATATACTTACCTACCTATCACTCTATAAAATTTCACTCAAATCTTTCAGCATAAAGACTCAAATATGTTTTTTCGGGAAATAAGATTATAAATTGAATAATTAAGAGGATCATTAAAAAAAAACAACAACCTCATGTCCCCTCAACAATAGTATTCTCTACTAGTGAACTCATATAATCATATAAACAAGAACCACTGTAGTTGAGCATCTAGTTCCACTACCCAACATCTAGAATTGCGAGATAAAGCACCCCCAAAATTCCATATGTGCTGGTCAACTCAGTAATGAAAACACAGAGAAACACCAACTCCTCCTGGGTGGCTGGGGAGGGCCTCACTGAGATGAACTACACAGTTCTAGTGCATCGGGCTTTGAGCATCCCTCACAGTGATGCCATAGTCCATGGACACTATGTGCTCAGTTGCACAATGATCTCCCACTGTCCCAGCAAACAACACTTGCGGTGGGGTCAGGGGAAAAATCAAATCATGCAGAGTATTTTTAATAAATCATAAAACATAACATAATAAAACAAATAAGTCACAAAAGAAACACCCCCCACCCACCCAAAAAATCATCTCCTGTCTTGACTATTGCAAAATCCTCTTCACTATCCTCTGTAAAACCCATTCCATGCCTCTTCAATTCATTCAAAGCACAACAGCCAATGACTTCTCTCCGATGCATCACTCTGATGTAACCACACACCCTGCCCTTTTCATCCAATAGTTATTTGTTTTCCATCAATCAAAATAAAGTTTTCAATCCCATCTATCTATCTATCTACCTAAGGTACTTACATGACTACAATTGCCATAGTACCTGAACACCTCTCAATCTTTAATGTATGTATTCTCACAACATTGCTGTGAGATAGGAAAGTAATATTTTACACATGAGGATCTGAGGCAGAGAGAGGCTAAGTGACTTGCTTAAGGTCACACAGTAAGTCTATGGTAGAGCCAGAACTCAACCCACGTTTTCCAAGTCCTAGGCTAGTCCCCAAACTATTGAATCATGCATCCTCTTTCCTATTCTCAACCTCAAGGCCTTACACAACTCTGTCTCTCTCTGCTTATGCAATCTTGTCTCTTTTTCTTACCCATCACCACTACTCTGCCAATGTTGCCAGCTTTGAATGCCAACTTCTCTGATTCTACAAAGGTCTCGGTGTCTCTTTCCATGCTGCCCTTTATGCATAGCTCATACTCCCTTAATGAATCTGTAAGCCTTCTCATTCAAATATGTTCTCAAGACCCATTGTCACCATGAGAGCTATATGAATCAATTACTAATGACAGCTAGGTTGAGAAGCAGTTGGAGATATAGGACATTATTGAAAAAGATTGTTACACGATTCTGAGCCACCAAGCATGCACACAGGTACACTGCAAAACTGTATGATCTTATTATCCTCTCACCCTTCAGTCCCTCTTATTATTTGTCACAATCTGATTAAAAACTCCATGTAACAAGTGTAAGATCTTTGGGGCAGGGACCATGTCTTTCTGAATGTTTGCACAATCTTTATTATAATGGAAGGGGTTTTATTTATGCATTACAGGAGAGTAATAGTAAAATAAATAATGCAAATTTATACATACATTGAAAAAATCAAGCAAGCCAACTGTGTACCATTTTCAAAGCAAGGACTACTAAGTGTCTGAACAAACAGCAGGACAAAGACTTGCGACAACAATTAACACTGCTTATTTTGTGAAGATGGCTAACCACCTGTGAAGAGTCTTCAATACAACAGAATACTGAAACAAAATGAGCTTAGTGTACAGTACAGACAACACTGTATATAAAGGCAATCAAATTGCCATGCTTACACTGAGACAACACACCTTCTCCCATATATACTGAAGCCAGTCTAGAATAGAAGCCAATCTTTAAAAAAAATACCCTGGGGGATGCAATATGTAATCAAACATAACCAATGAGATCAATGATCTTGACAGCAAACAGTGTGTATATGGAGAGATACAAAGAAAACACCAAAAGGAAATTTTCAATAAGCCCATCATATTCCCAGACAGAGTACGGAGGAAAGTAGCATTGAACAGTTTCACTGTAAACTAGACAGACTCTCTCATCATTATAGTTTATTATTCAGATTTCTAGGAAATACAGAAATGGCCAGATATGACTAAAGCAAAGGCGGTACACAAAGCAGACAGGGCAAACCAACCAGATTAGCAGACATAACAATCCAACCTTTGTCTTCTTTGACAATGGCTCTAAATTCACCAGCAACTAACTTGCATAATTGGTCAGAGAAAGATATTTTTGAAAAACTGGTCAAAACTTGGATTTTGCATGAAATTCTAACATTGTGAAGTTCTCTTTCATCCCAAATTGTAACAAACAACTGAAAGTTTTAAAGTTCCTGCAAAATGAAATA